ATACAAATCATGAAGGAAGAAACTTACTACTGACTACAGAGTTTTAGCATTGCCTCCCTCTGCTTGAAAGTTTAGATCGTCTCTTGTAGCAAAGTCTAGCCGAGAAAACCCATAGTGACCAAACGAGGATTCTAGTCATGACAAGATTATGTACATCACATGGGTTCAAACTGTAGAACCTAGAGCCAAGGCCAGTTCTGCAATGAGATGTGCACATTTGGAAAAGTGATTTAATCTGAGCTTAATTAATCTTTGAGGTTTTTTTTTCCTCCACTGCCAATTCAGAGACAGTATGTCTCAGTCCTAAAAATGCAATAATATAGCTATGAAGTTCAAAGGTAATACTGTGCCAGCTATGAATTTCTGAATTTTGTTACAACTATCAGGTTGAACCATATGAAATTACTAGGTTGTTGTTACTGTTGTTGGTTTTCAATCAACAGAGCTGGCAATTTTAGACAAATATTCTGGAACTTGGGGGAATTTAAGAGTTCAACTTAGAAGTACAGTTTTAATTATTTATATCAGTTTGTATCCCCCAGTCACTCCTAAATTAAGTGATAATCTTGAAAATATAGTCTCCTTCTTAGATGCATGAAGCTGTAGAAAAAAAATCTGCATTCTTTGTAAAGGCATGAGGCTTTGAACTGAAGCAGCAAGAATAAATATCAAGTGGCTCTTAACTAAGAGAGAAGTAGGAAGAGATGCTTGCATTAGTTTTGAGTATTGCCATGTCCTGAACTAAAGGAGCAGACCAAAATTTTGCAGAGCTCTAAATTCTAATTGGATTTTAGTCTTCACTTTATTATGACTTGCTGAAATCGAAGATGTAGTCAGTCACTGGGCCTCACTCAGTCCTCCCAGCTGTGGTGTGAGGAGCTGAAAATATAGTCCTAAAGATCTGCTCTAATGTGACATTCTCTGACTTGTGTTACTATTGAGCCACAATCAGGAGATCACTGTACAAGTGCATCTCAGAACGTCACAGATTATAAGTTAAATGATATTTAGTCTATGGAAAATTAAAAGTGGTTTTCCAGAGGAAACCGAACGTCAGGTTGAGCAAATGTACAAGAAAGTCACACTGGCCTGAGAACAAGAGAGGAGCTAAAAGGAGGGTAAGATATAGGAAAAATAAAACAACAGCAAAAACACAACGAAAAATCAACAGTGTGTAGACGTCTGAAATACAAAAGTTAAAGACTGCTAAAATAGGTGTCAAATAGCTTCTTCCTATTCATTAAGAATAAATGTCTGTTGAAAAGTAAAGAGATGGAATTTAGTGAAAAAACTGGGTCTGATTTGCCCTCCCATCAGATTCTGGCTTCTATAAACATAGCTGCCTATATTTATGCCAATGTGGGCATGTTAATGAAAATATAATTCCTTCTTAAAGAGTGTGAAGCCTACTTATGTCTGTAACAATCTGAATCACAGCAACTCAATATAAAATCTATCTTCCATAAAGCCTATGATCATGAAGGTAATTATGAAGGATTTTCAAAAACTACACCCATGCACATAAGAAAAGCGAGCAGAAGGGAAACATATAGTGGGGAAGTAATAGAGGCAATTAAACCAAAAATAGGGTATTGCTGAATTGTACAAAGTATTTTTCTCACCAATTTTCCTTCTTCTTTTAAAAAAATGCAAAATTGATTCCTTACCAGCATAAAATTGGTACTGTGTTTTGGAAAGGAAATCACAGGCTATTATAGGCACTTTCTAAGTTGATTTGTTCTTTTCAAATGATGGCCAGGAAATTAGATTTCCATTTTTCTTTGTCTAATCATTTATGATCTTCCTTGGAGATCTGCATGAAAATAAACGAACTGAAAAAAACTCAACTGAAGACTATGGCAACTGGAGAAGTCATATGGATTCATATCATCATGACACAGGTACATGTAATGTTACAAAGGCATAATTAGACCAAATATCTCTATTTTGCAAAGACTTCATTTAGCAGTCTGTTAGATGTCCATGCACAGGCTATCACAGCTGTAAGATGCCAATACAGAAGCATGCACGTGACTGTGTTAAATGAGCAAGAGGGAACTATGGAACAAACCCTTTACTCTTCATCTATGGCTACTCATGGAAAAGAGTGAAAATAAACTCAAATCCTTAGACTATTTTTACTAGCACAATTTTAATATATTTTTCTTCACTAATGGAATAGGTTACTTCATAAAATACAGATGACAAAAATATCCTTTAGAGCAATACAAGCCAATCAGTCAACCACCACTGGAAAATCCCTCCTATGAAGACACATGGCCTATATTCCCACATGCATCATATAAACACACACAGATAGCATGAGTCCCTGACCTGTGTCAATCCACTTTATTTCTAAAGTCCCTAAAGCAAAGACATTGGATTACTTTCTTTCACACGTAATCTATAGTTATTTTAAATTGTCCTGTAAAATTACAGAATACTGATTAAGTACAAAGTTTTCTTCATATTCTAAAGGTATTTCTGTTAGGAATTACCCACTAAATTGCAAATTATGGGAAGGTATGAGTCCCATCTTTCCCATCCCCATCTTAAAGTCAAATATTAGAGTTTTGTCTGACAAAAGGATTATATCACCACCCGTATTTTATATCTAAATGGAAAAGTTTCATTTTATAAAACAAGGAATCAGTTAAAGGTTGCTGTCAGATACTGACTTTTTCTAATAAAAACTTTTCTATTTTTAAACAGACAGGACAGCAATTATGACATGAGAAAATGACACGGAATGCCAGTTTCAGAGAAAACAAATGAGGACTTCGGGGAACAGCCGCTCTCCTTCAGTTCTGCTCTCTCCTGCTGTTTATATGCTATAGCCACAGAACTGACCATCTGGACCCAAAATGCAAAGCCTAAAATGCTTACTACCTGTGCTTTACAGAAAAAAATGTTTAGAAGACCCTGTGCTACATCACTGGTTCTTTTCCCATTAACTAGGAGAAGTAAAGGAAATGGTCTCACAAAATAACTAGCTCGATACAGTATATGTACGTGATGTGATTCTCCTGGGGTCCTTTTGGGGCTGAGCCACCTTCTTGAGAGTGACCTGGACATACTTGTGACGCACTCACCTCTGAGGATCCGATCCCCTTCAGGTCTATATGATTTTTCAGGTTTGTGCTTCTTTGATTCCTTGCTTATGATTTTATGTAAACTAAATTGATTCTAAACTTGAATAGATTTTCATATATGTGATGTGATTCTCCTGGGGTCCTTTTGGGGCTGAGCCACCTTCTTGAGAGTGACCTGGACATACTTGTGACGCACTCACCTCTGAGGATCCGATCCCCTTCAGGTCTATATGATTTTTCAGGTTTGTGCTTCTTTGATTCCTTGCTTATGATTTTATGTAAACTAAATTGATTCTAAACTTGAATAGATTTTCATATATTTATGCCTGATAGCCAAAAGAATGTATATGATTGGCAATAGGAATTCTGTCCTATTCTCCTTTGGAATACTCTGTATCCTCAAGAAGGTACTTAAATTTTCTGATTGTACTTACATACAAATGATATAGTCACAAATTGCAAGACTTTCATGTCATAAGTGATGAAATTTTTTTCTAGCCAAAAGGGTCTTAATTGCTCAGAAGCTTTAAGTCTTTTGAAAAGGGACCTTGCTCATTTCTTAAACTTCTGTCCACATTGCATCCAGAAAGTGGTCGGAAGGTGCCTCTGCCTAGTAGCGCTGCAGTCCAGCCTCCTCGATCACATTTTTGTTGATTAATAAAGAGATCAAGGAGAGCTTTCTTTATCCTTTCCACAGCTGTCTACACCAGCAACCAGGAATATCATAAAAGAACCAGAATGTGTTATTCATTTGCATTTACATTCTAAAATATCATTTTTGGTCAGTTCTTAAGAACACTGGCTGTTCTTGCAGAAGACCCGGCTTTGAATCCCAGCACCCACATGGCAGCTAACAACTGTCTGTAACTCCAGTTCCAGGGGATGCAACAACCTCTTCTGTCCTCTGTGGGCATTGCACAACACGGGTGCAGTTCCTACATATAGGCAATACAAGCGTAGACATAAAATTAAAAAATAATAATAAATATTTTTTAAAATGCCACTGAAATTTGTTCACATCACCCGTGTCAGTCATGATAGATTTGTCACCATTTCTTTCTGTCAGAAAATCTGAATGTGTGGAATTTCTCAAGTATATCCAAAATGTGTATAGTTTACGCTGATCTCCAACACACTGTCAATACTTCTACTGCACTTGCAATGTCTTAAACTATCAAGTAATTATTCTCAACCACCAAAAGAGAAGTAGAAACAGAGTCCTGATTGATCAATCTCCCATCCTTTCATAAGAGTCATGTTAATCATAAAATAATAAACATCATCAAAGATCTAAGAGTGAAGGTCAAACAGCATAAGAATAGGTTGTGTGTATACACTAATAAAGTTGCAAAAATCTTTCCAATTTATTTGAAAATGTATCCCTGAAAGACAATATAGATCAAGAATGCTAAAGTATGGCAACATGGTGTCACTGGGTTCTGCCTGGGACATTTTCCCAAGGAACATTACTAGTTCTCAGGATCATTCTCCACCAAGCACACAAACAAGTTACCACCTTGTAGCAAAACCTCTTGGTTTCTTAGTCTACAGTAGTACCCCAAAGTGGCTTATGTACATTCTAGGAGATACATAAGCCAATCCTCCAGGTGAGTAAAGATAGGGGAATTTTTTAAAATATAAATTATCACTAGCATAGGGGATTAGTAATTGTTAGTATGACTCTGGGCTCCATTTCAGAACACAGGTAAAACTCCTCAAAAGGAAGGTTGTAAAACAGACAGGTTAAAACTGAGAAACAAATGCCACAGCAGTTCATCAAATCTATTATGGACCACAGTCCCACAGTGCCAGCTTCTGCACTGCCCATCAACCACCCTAGTGCTGATGAAAAGATACAGTCAACAGTCACCCTTACTCATGCCTCTGAAAGGACGATGACACACTCACTGTTTCTGAAGTAAGTGCTGGTGCTGCTGCTGCTGCTGTTGCCGGTATGTCTCGATTGTGTGCTGAGGAAGGTACTGCATGAGCTCCAGGGACTCTTTGATCTTCAACAACATTTCATAAGTCTCACGACCTCTCACCTACAGAAAAGCACATTTGGAAAGTGAAGATGAAGAACTTCAAATCTGACAGAAGTCAGTCAGTCCTCATTATTGGTGGATTCTGTCTACAGATGCACCTACTCTTTAACAATTATTTGTAACACGGAAATCAATACAGTTGGCACTTTGTGGTCATTTACAGACATGCACTGTGACAGAAGTCATCTGTGCCTGTTCTCAGTTGAAGGGGAGCAAGAAGGTGCTCTGCTGTGTGATTTCAGCTCCCATGCTGCAAACTAGTGTTTTTACCACAGTCTATTCACTGCCATGTATTTCATAGTGTTGTGCTTTCTGTGAGTGACTTTGTAATTTAAAAGGTGCTCTGAACTAAAATGCTGTTTAATAGTCCCAAGTGTGAGAAGACAGTGTTGTGTTGTACTGTGCAGAGAACATGCCTGTGTTTGAGAACCCTTATCCAGGCATGAGTTACCATGTTGACTGTGAGTTCAATGAGGAAGACTCAACATCTATTAAATAGGATGCCTCTAAACAGAAGCATACACAAATCAAGGTTATGCCTTAAACTATTGATGAAATGTAGGGTCAGAGGTTCATGGAAAGTTAACACTATATTTCCTAAGGACAAGGGTTCAATATTTTTGAATTCAGTTTTAGCTATAACTTTATAAAATGTAATTACTATGAAAAATAAACTATCCTTGGAACGAAAAAAGTTTTCAGCAGGGATAAAAGGCACTTCTCTTTTTCGGAGTCTTCTTAAAGTTTTAAAAATTCAGAGGAGGGTCAGGGCCAGCATGAGGCAAGCAATGTACCTGATAACCTTCAGGGCTATGGGAGTTAGTGCTCAAGGAAATTCTGTACCCTAGACTTTTATGTATCCCACCTAGCCACTTCCCTGAGAACAAGAGACAGAATTTTGCCAGAATACAAAAATAGAAGGATTTTCTCTCCCCTGTGGTTAGCTCCTACTCACCTCTGGACGCCCATCTCTGAGAAGCTTGCCCTGACCGTCTGCCTTTGCTTTCTGTGTTTGTTCCTTCCCTTGTATTTCTTCAGCTTTACTAAGTGTTTATTTCATCAGCTTTCTAACTACTGCGCTGTCACTGTAAGGTAAGCTCTTTGAAGGTAAGTACTATTTCCTACTTCTAGTTGCTCAGGATCTAGCCTACTTGTCACTCAATAATACCCACTAAACACATGTTAAACTGATTCAGCTTGTTTTTCACCTCATACACTTTTTAAAAGATAATTTTACACAAATTTAGACATAACTCATCATAAGGTACCTCCCCATGAGTACACACTGTTCCCTAAAACATGGATTTTCAGATAGTTCAGTTAAGTCTTTTGGAGTATTTAGTATAGTAAGGATAATGTTTTACTTAAAGGTCACTTTCTCTATGTTGCCTTAGAAACAAGACATTGGAAAGCTGAATCACTGATTTTCCTGAGGGCTAGGGCACAAGAAAGGTCGGGAAAGATGTAGGGCGCACCCAAACCTGTTGAGCAGCTTTAGCTCCAATCCCAGGGCAGTAACTCAGTCAATTCTCCTGGCACTGCTTGCCTGTGCCTCATGTCAGTTTGGATGGCATCAAGGGTTGCATTCGTCACCCACATTTAATAAAATTTTAGTAGAGCAGCAATAGCCATTCTATATAGCAAAGACCTAGGGCAGTAAGAACTCAATGAATAGAAACCATAACCTAATAGTTAACCACATATCTAATAGTAACCCAGCGAAGTGAAGGATGGTCTTAAGGTGTGGGTTCAAGTTGGGCGTGGTGGTGTACGCCTTTAGTCCCAGCACTTGGGAGGCAGAGCAAGCAGATCCCTGTGAGATCAAGGTCAGCCTGGTCTACATAGTGAGCTCCAGGCCAGCTGGGACTACAGGTCTCCAAAAGACCAAAAAAGAATTGGGTAAAGCTTTCTGGCTATTCACACATGATTGTGGATTCTGCCTCATTTGGTTTTCTTTATAAAAGTTCCCCCAAAGTAAACAAACATTTCCAGCACTAAGAAATGATTGCTTGAAGAGACAAAAGTGCTATTCGCTCAGATTTCATCATTACATATGGTGTATTACCAACTTTGTGAACTATTTGTGACAAAAATTCAGGAATGGTCATGCTATGCAGGAAAATCTTGTCATTCAAAAATAATAAAGTGTAAATTAATTGTAAATATTTGATGAACATCCCATTATGAAGGTAGTAGCTATGATAGGATGGGAAGGTAAGCGGAAAAGCTCACAATATTAATAGATCCTTTGACTGTAAAGGAAAATGATAACTTTAGGACTTAAAAATCCCTTTGCTTTACTTTATACCTCCTTCTGCCACTATGGATTGAATATTTTGTCTCCAAACTTTATATGTTGAACTCCTAAATTCCAAAATATTGTTATCAGGCGATAGAGTCTTTGGCAGGTTATTCAGGTTGGAGAGGGTAGGACTTTCATGAATGGGATAAGTGCCCTTGTAAAAGAGTCCTCCGAGAGATATGTAGCTTTCTATCCTGTATATGAGGATATGCAGAGAAGACAGAAGCTAGAGCTCAGAAGAGGGCCCTCCCAGAACCTGACCCAGGGCATCTTGATCTTGGTGGTCTGACCCTAAGCACTTGGAGAAACAAAAGCTGTTATTTACAAGCTAGCTTGTTTATGTCACTTTGTTGTTTCAGCTCCAACTGACAGAGTCCACTCCTCTGTGTCCCAGCTGACTAGGTGATGATGTCCGTTTAATAAGAGCTCATTCAAGAACAGCTAAGTAAGTGGCCATACGCATTCAAGGGCATTCAAGGGCGGCAACTCACAGGCAAGTATAACAGTTCATCATCTGGTGACCTTCGTTTCTTGATGGATGTCATCTGGATGCCATGTGTGTTCTGACGAAAAGCTGGTGGAAGAAAATTGCAAGATTCAGCCTGAGAAATCACTGAAGCTCTAATATAATTTAATCATATTTATTCATTAAATATTGATATTTAGGGGCTGGGGAGATGCTCAGTGGTTAAGAACACTGGTTGTTCTTGCAGAAGACCTGGGTTCGAATCCCAGCACCCACATGGCAGCTAACAACTGTCTGTAACTCCAGTCCCAGGGGCTCCAACAGCTTCTTCTGACCTCTGCGGGCATTGCACGACATGGGTGCACTTACCTACACGCAGGCAATACACGCATACACATAAAATAACTAATAAAATTTTTTTAAAGTTAAAAAAATATTGATACTTAATCATGCACACTAAGCAGACACCTTCTAGATTAAGGACTTCAGTCTTAAGCATCCATCTGATTGATGCCAACTGCTTTTACATTAACAAGGAGGTAGGAGAGAGTCGAAATGGCAAGTTGAACAGTAAATTCTGGATGCCTGGGGGTGCTCAGAATATACTATGTGTATCTGAAGAGTCACTAAGAAAAGAGAAATTCATCTTATTTTTCAGATAATTCATCTCCTAAGGAGTTAAATGCATGGTATAGGGATTGTGTTGGAAATGGCAAAATGAGGGAATTAGCAAGTGATAAATCTCTAAAGTTTTCAAAATAGAATAAAAAAATCAGTCAGGACTAATGGTATGAAATGATCGTGATACCAAAACTGAAATAATCTGTTCTTACAGGCTGTTAGAAGTCACCGACTCCTAGGTAATTAGAGCACTCAAAAAAAAAAATGCTCTATTGCTCTGTTACCTGCAGGATCAAGAGTGAAATTAGAATGGTGAGACACATATGTGATATATTTGGTATTTTGAGGAGTTATCAGAGAAAGAGAGAGAGAGTCCATAGAAAAGTGTATCACACTGAACAGTTGGAAGTTCATGGTCATAGGGTCTGTAAAGAGCAATTCAATATCTAATTCATTTGAACAGCAATCAATTATAAGATTAGTCCTTTTCTGTAAAAGAAGTCACTGTGATATACTTCAAAATATTTGTAGAGTAGGTATGATAGTCCATGCCTGTAATAATCTCAGAACATGGGTTATTGAGGGAGGAGAGCCAAAGTGAGTTCAAAGCCAGACTGGTGTATATAGAGAATTCCGGGTCAGCCTGAGATCCTGTCTCACAAAAAGCAAAACAAAAACAATAACAAAAAACTAGCTGGGCATGGGGGTGCACACCTTTAATCCCAGCACTGGGAGGCAGAGGAAGGCAGATCTCTAAGATTGAGGCCAACCTTGTCTATACAGGGAGTTCTAGGCCAGGTGGGGCTACAGGGAGACCCTGTCTCAAACACAACAACCAAACAAACAAATCCCAAACTAACAAGTAGTGCTAACAGGCTTATGTTTATGCAAAATAGTCTGTAGAAAAACAGTTCACCACAAACTAATATCTCAAGTGTGAGTGGTGTTCTAATTTTCTTATCTGGGGTTCCAGGACTCTGTGTAGGTGGCTGAGTAGAGGCTTTAGGATAGAGAGCACTCAAACCCCTTTCCACTGGAGCAGCTTTGCTTTCACAAAAGTGTCTCATAAGCTTCTTGAGATACTTCATTGATTGAAATCTGAGTTCAATAAAAACTGATAGGGTAATGGAGGTCATAGGGTCACACATGTGAAATCAAGACTCAGTGAGACCCAGATCTGTACATTCCCCAGACTGTGGCTCATGAAATCCATCCATAAATGATACCCATAGGGTCCAGAGGAGAATGGGTACTTACTTAGGTAGTATTCAAATCACTTGGAGAGCTTACAAAACACAGATTACACAGCCACCCAGTTTCTGATGCAGCAAGTCTGGCACCTAAGAATGGGCATTTCTGCCCAGTTTGTAGAAGTTGATGATGCTACTGGTATGGGAGTCATATTCTAAGCAGGCCTGCAGTAAAACTTTCTACCAGTGACAGCTTTCCAAACTGTAGCTTACTCTGGAGAACAGTGCAGTGGCTAGGCCTGTACTATCTCTACTCTCACTGACTTGGAGATGTCTGGTCATGCTCACTTGCCAGTGCTCACAGTTCTAGTCATGCAGATGTCCTTATGTTATCTGCCAGAGTCATAGATCTGGAGAAGAACTCAACCCTGCCCCGTTTGGCACTACATCTACTTACGGCGCTTCGTACCATCACCGTTCTTTGTGCTGTCCGAAACCTGCTGCTTTCTGATGCTGTCTTCGTCTGCCTTCCTGTCTCTCCCTGGGCAAGCGCAAATCCGGGCCTCAAAGCATCTTCGGCCCAGGACTTGCCCACTAGCAGTTAGAGAAGAGAGGAAGAAGAGTCAAGTAACAGGGTCTTCAAGGTCCCCTGGGGTCCTCCCACTTGTATCCTCTTTCTCTCGGCCATCACATGTGCACGCTCCCCACCCTTTCAGCATGGCTGCTCTGAGCAAGGACCCCAAGCACTCGGCAGAACCAAAGATGCTTACGTGCCACAAGCGATATTAGTAAATAGCATTCCATTTGTTCTGCAAAGAACCTCCAAGCCATTAGCTGAACAGCTGTATTTAGCTACATATTTTGAAGGAAACTTGAGTTAAGCCAGTGGATGTCTCTGGATAAAATCCCCTCTGGCAGCCCAGACTTCTCAAAGAAACTGTTAAATGCCTTGGGGCCACTGAAAACAAACACTGTCTAATCAGAAACAATTCCAGTCAAAAGTCAAGAAGGCTGGTATGGAGTGACTTGGACCCTCCCAGCTCCTTTTCCCTTTTACCCTTACCCACCCTCCTCTCAGATCTTTTATGTGTTTAGGGCAGGTTTAAAGCACAAAGGAGGAAGGAATCGGGGCAGCTCTCTGTGCACACAACGCTAATAAAAAAACAGATTTCACTACGTCCTCTACCTATGATTGTTTATGAAATGACAGTTTCACACATGCCACTTACTCTCTGGTTTCCAAAGTAACAATGATTAAAATTGGACGGCGGTTCATCCCTCCGACACAGCTGCTGTTACACATGAAATTGTATAGGACTGTGGTGAATTCAGTGCCAACCTGAGCATGGGAGAAAAAGAAACATGTACATACATATATGCATAGAACTTACGTCGATGACAGTTGGAGCTAATGTTCTTCCTTCTCCCTTTCTTCTTTTGAAAGAACCCCACTTTTAAGGGCATGGTTCCTTCTAGAGAGGTGTATTCTAAAATCCACTGTAGAGCTCTCTTTGTCTGGCTTTCTAGAACAATTTGCAGCTGCGAGGAACTACAGAGGTGAAAAGGGCAGTACTAGAGGGCTGATCTTCGAAGCTGTCCATTTGCAAGCGGATCCCAATTACTCACTTCAAACAATTTGTACCAGGGTATCACTGAAAAAGGAGAGCTGGAGGGAAAAAGCCCCAAAGAGAAGCAATGCTCCAGGGATATTTTCCCTCTGGAGAAAACAATATAACATGGGCTTGCAAATTAACTTCCATAAAGAATATCATAGAGCTAAAATGCCCTCAGAATTAAGCCATCTACAGTGTTCATTTGTAGATAAGGTAACTGAAGCAAAGCGCAGAGAGGGCGGGCGAGTCACATCCAAGGATCCACAGCTAACCAGTAAACCCCAGAAGGCTTTGCTGGTCTTCAGATCTTCACTGTACACTTTCCACCACTCTGCTCTACTTCATGCCACACATTTGCAAATATACCATCTGTTCAGGCAAACTGCAGCTATGCAGTGTACCTTAGCCTCTTACACCTACAGTCTACACTGGAGTGCTTATATCTAGTATTTATTCATTTCTATTATCAATTGTCAAGCAGGTAAAACCATGTTCCATGTAAAACTAATTTCCCTTGCATCACTAGCTGCCTTTAAGAGAGGTACATGGGCAGAGCTGCGGCGCCAAGTTAATTCAATATACATTCAGGAATTAAAAAAAATTTATTTCCTTTTTAGGTATATGAGTGTTTTTTGCCTGTGTGTATGTCTGTGTACCATCTGCATGCCCTGCCCTGTACCTGCAGAGAACAGAAGAGGGCATTGGATCCCTGAAAACTTGAGTTACAAAGGGTTGTGAGCCACCTTGTGGGTGCTGGGAACAGTGAGAACAGCAGTACTCTTAACTACTAAGCCATCTCTCCAGCCTCACATTCGGGATTTTTGAAGGGGCGACAGATGGACAAAAGACATAAAAAGGAATTTTTTAAAGAAATTATTCATTTATTTTTTCGTGTGTGAGTGTTTTGCCTGCTTGTATATATTTGAACCTGTGTCACACAATGACTGCAGAATGGAACTGTGGAGAGGAAGTGTAGTCACAGACAGTTGTTAGCTACCATGTGGTGCTGGGAAACAAACCCCATCCTCTGCAAGAGCAGCCACTGCTCTTAACATCTGAGCTATCTCTCCAGTCCCCAAAAGAATTCTTTTTAAAGTATTTGATATCAAGAATAAACACAGTGATAAATGTGAGAGATTCATCGTGTGACCAAATGAACACTCTTTCTTCTACCCAGTATACCATCAGTCAGTCTGAGTATCTGCTTATCTGTGTTGTTTCTTTGCTGTTTACCTGGGGCGGCTCATACGGGACCAGCACACTCTGCCTTCCAGTGATAGGATCTTCTACATACTGGGCATGGCTGTTCCCTTCTACTCGAATCAAATGACTAGGAGGGGCAATCTGTCCTATAGATCAGAAAAAGACAAAATAGTTAGATCATTGACCTTAATAATAAAGAATATGAAATAAAACTGCATGGGCAGAATGATGCTCGCCCAAGAAACAGTTTGTGTAGTAAAATAAGTAACTGCTCTTGATAAAAGACAGCTCTTGTTACCAGGTACATAATAAGGGCTGATATCTGAGACTTCAGAGTAACACAAAGTAATACTGCTTATCACCACCAGGGTAATGGTTCAATGCTTTGTAGCTTAAGGTTAACTATTTAAACTTTATAGAACTCTAAGAGTGCATCTAGCATTTCATCCATTGCATGGAATTTTTCAAGTTTCCCTGGAAAATTGAAGAAAAACAGACAGGTTAACTAAAAAAATAATGCAGTCCAAGAGTTTGACCCGCAAAGACACTAAATAAGAAATAGAAGAAAAGGCTGAGGTTGTAGTTCAGTGGCACAGTGAACACTTGCCCACCACGTACAAGGCCCTGGATTCGAGCTCCAGCACTGAGAACAAGACAAAAGACAGAAGATGGCAAGCACCTGGGCCTTACCTTGTTTATTTTTTCTTCTCTTTTTCATCTTTAGACCTTGCTTTAGTTGTAAAGATAAGAAATATTCAGGGTTTACTATGTTGAAAGAGGCCCAGGTTGGAGACAGAAAAAGGGGAGCAAGTTTTTAAGAGCACAGGCATCATCATAAAATTGTGCTATTTGGCAATGTGCCAAAAGAAAGGCAGTGTTCTAAGAATTAGGACCCATAAAAGCTGTCTTTATCCTTTGGCTATGAATTTCCAGTCTATGAAAACTATTCAATAAAAGTAAAGAGCTAAGTAGGTCAAGATGCCCTCTACAGCATCATCTATTTTGA